TGTATAAAGTGTAACACTATAATGCTATAGAAACTTACTATACACTTACATCACCGTGAATCCTTGGAGGGAGACGTTCTCTTGGAACTCTTTCATAGTCATATCGCCCTTCAGACCACATTTCATCTCTTCGATATGCCACTAAAGACAATAAAAATACAGTTAGTGAAAACCAATTAGTTATGAATAGACAAAAGGATAGTGAGCATAGAAATAAAGGTTCACGGACCTCTCTCAATATAATGCATTATGCACAACCTCTGTACATATACTTCCTATTGTCAGCCCTTTAAAATAAGTACTTCTAGTTATACTAGAAACTACTATAGAAAGTAATTAATGTACTTTAAGCAAAAATAACTCACAGTATGTGCAAGAACAACTGAACAACTGGAAATCAGTGTAGCATAATCAGCAAAATTACAGGACTTACAGATACTATAAACAGCTCTATTGAAATATATGCATATTGCAAATACTAGCTGTACATATAAATGCATACACATATAGCAATTTTGATACTGCTCTGCTAAAAATACTGGACCTCTAAAAATATTTAAACTATTTATTAAATCATTTCTAATTTTTAATATAATATAATAACTTTTAATTATTTCATTAACTCAACTATCAAGCAGTTAAAACACAGCACATCATTCATTTACTAAAAAGTTCTGCACTTTGATTACATGAATAAAACACATTCTTCATATGCAAATACTTCCTGTTTTAAATTGGAAGCCAGCAGAACACAAAAATTCCTCTTTCCAAAGAAGCGTGACTTTCAAAGTCAAAATTAGTAATTAAAGGCAGGTAGCAATAAACCATCACCCTAAGAGATTCTAGTCATGCTATGTTGGGCAGTACAGACTTGAGGAGTTCAAACAACTGCTAGAATTATATTTTTCAAAGCTTCCCCTCACAATGGTAGCTCTGCTATTGAAAACAGTCATTAAGGAAAAGTAACAGCAGGTCATATTCAGAAGAAGAAATACATAATATTACCTACTTGCACAAAGTAAAAACATTTTATTGGAAATAGACTTATGAGGCTATACAGAAATATTGATTAATACAGATGTTAAGAATCAACATGACAAAGGGATTAATAACTGTAAACAGAGGTAGTACTAAGATATGTACCATTGCATCAAACAACGAACACTCACATACTCACTTTTCCGTCAGTTTTAGCAACTCTGCTCCTGAAGATCCATTCACTTTCCTACAAAAAAAGAAACTGAAATTAGCAAAAAATGCATATATATTCATCATAAGTACATTTTTTCTTTTAAGTAAACCAGACAGCTAAAATCTAAATGTTTTACCCACCTGTCCCCCGTGATCTGTCTGAATCAGCAGTTACTTACCACACTCAATTAAGAAAGAATATGAATTACTCAGCTAAATAAACAGTATCAAAAAACTTCCTGTGACAAATTATTACAGAAAAAACACCTTCCTAATAAATTCCAGAATTTTCTTTCCCTTTTGTCATCTTTTACTCACTATCTCAACTCCCAGCTTTTCTTCCATTCATTAGCAAAAGCTTTAGGAAACTACTGTAACTGTTTTCTTAAAAGCACTCAGAAAAATATTTAACATATTCACTTAATGAATATTTATTTAACTGTCTTTCCACATCATTAAGTAAAGAAAAATAAAACTCAGTTGCACGTGATGAGAGGTTACGATTTAACAAAGGCTTTCCTTTAAAAATACACTGTAAATCCCGACAAAGTAGCTCTTTCCTCAACTGTAAGATGCATTCATGTTCAGAGATTTTTACCCTACCACTGGTTCAAATGAACCAGAGTATCTTCTTAAAATATTGTTCTATTTTATAAGAGACTTGACCTTAAGTTTGTTTGATAACCAAGACACAGGACTAGTCTGATGTAGCCACAGATTACAAATCAAAAGCTGACTAAGCCAACCAGCTGATCCTGGTTTTAGTAAGGGCAAAAGCTAGAGGATCCACTGGCCCTGCCCTCTAAGGGACAGAAGAGTTACTAATTCTGAAACCACTTTTCATATTGCTGTATTGGATGGTCAGGTGTATCATCAGAAGTACTGTCCTGAAACTTTCATAGTAACTGTCTCAACTTTTCTTTATTCTCTACTCCAGGGACTTTTGCTAAAGCCTTAAAAATTCCCACCAGGGGTTACATGTACATGAACAGTTCTTTGACCAACTTCATGCCCTCCTTCCCACATTACAGAGAGGGTGTTTCATTTGCTCTGACACTGTCCCCACAGTCCTCTTTTCTTTGTGCCCAGTACCTGAATACCCCTGTGTTTTTAAGTACCAGGAGGGAGAGAACTGGATGAAGCAAGACATGAAGCATCACGTGGTCTTCCTCAATACACTTCACTGCTGGCCCCTCATGCCCAACCCTTGCCCCAGGGTGGATCATTCCTTCTGCCAGACCTGCCCACAGCTGGGGAGCACCTGAGCCACCCAACAGCACCCACTCCCACCCCTGCTTGTCCACAGCTCACCCATCTCTCACATGTGCAGAGATATAGGTACTTGACAGTAAGCCTCAGTTTTTTAGACCAACAGCAAATACCAGAAGCTGGATTCAAATAAGGTTTTCAAGTGGGCTTTTTTTTTTTTTCCATTTTGATAAATACAGTAGTGTCCCTGCCCTGATGCCTGCAGAAGTTATGGAACTGTTAACTGAACACACCATTCAAAAAGCAACACATTTCAGATAAGTGCCACTGAAGATGAGTGTAAACTTACACATCATGCTACTCTGTCAGTCAAACGACCTCCAACATCCCAACACACATCACTGGCAGCAGGCACCACCACCACCACTCATGTACAAGCTCCATTATATTATCAAGCAGCCAGGCTGATAAAAACACTCCCTTTTTTATCACTGTTGGACCTCACTGAAACTAGCAAGAATTATCATCAGTATTTTGACAAAGCAAAACACAAGCTGGAAAGAAGGTAGAGATACACTATCACAAAAGTCAGTAGATGGACATAAAAAAATATACACCAGAAAACAAGCAACTATGGAAGTGGAAAAGAAAATCTCATTCTCATTTAGAGGAATTAAATGAAGGAGTTAATCAGACAGAATCAACCATCAAGTACATTGCTCAAAATGCTAGTAAGGTGAACGAGTAGGAGAAGAGTTCTGTAGAATCTACATTTTTGTTTCCAAAACATACAGCTCTCTAATCCAGATGGCTATATCTTGCCATATGTGAACAAAGCATAAAACCAATGCTGTGCTGTAAATGCAGAGACAGGCAGCTGCAGTGTCTCCCATGCTAAGGGATATATCCGGGTTCATAATACTACTTTGACAAACAGCAGATTGACAAATGTGGGCCAGTTCTGTCTCTCCTCTGCTTTGGAAAGCTCTCCAAAAAAAGCTCAGATGCTTTTGTGAAAGTAAGATCTGGGACAGATGTAACTTATTAGAAATATCACTATTAACTTTGCAATGATTCCAGCAGTGAGGACATAAAGACAGAGAGAAAACACTGCTTTTTCTTCCAACAATTAGACTCCATATTCGATAATGCTTCGAAGATATCCTAGCATCTCTTACCTAGACAATTGATAAGATGGATAAAACTGAGTTTGAGAGGGAAAAAAACCCCAACTTTCTCAACCTCCCCTCATATCTGGGACAGGCAGAAAACACTGAATAGACACAGTCCTACTCGTAGGATGAAAAAGCAGAAGCGTAAGAGTAGAGGGAAAAACCCAACATATCAGGAAATAAAATAATGTGAGGGGGGCATTAAGAAAGAACAGAGATTCAAAGACAGTCCATCTCTCCCTAATTACAAATATTAGGCTGTAAGATTTTCAAAAGCAAAAAGAAGTATGATTGCAACAAGTCTAGACATATTCACCTAGATACCAAATAACCTGAGGAAAGCAGCTTTCTTCCAAAGTCAAATTAACTTGCATCTCAAAAGAAAAAATAGCCAGACATGCATAAGCTGAATAAAATTATTCAGAGCAGCAGCATTCCAATGAGAATTTACAATCCCATCAATTCGGTTTTCTTACTACATCGTTCCAATACATCCCTGAGAGCAAGACAAATGGAGGCAATGCGTTGGGGGTTATATTAATACAATGAATGATGTATTAGCGCTTCTCTTTGCCTGACCACCTGCAGATACCAACCTGTCCTTCACCAGTGCCAATGCCACGAAAAGAATATTCCACCAGGCTGCGAGAGGCTGCTGCGCGGGCACCGTCAATGCAAACAAGCGCATGGACCTCCGCCTCCTCCGCGGCTTTGTCTTGCGGCACACTTGGACAATAAAATATGTCAGCTCTCCATACTGCTGTCATAACAGGTCAAAACTGCAATGCTCTCAACAATTACTCCTGAAAGTACCAACCAATCCTGCGTATTTCACCCAGGGCAAATCACTGCAACAAACCGTCCTCACTGCTTGCACTGATTGCGTGAGTTTCCACGTCTTTTTGTGTATTTCTGACAGTTTTGGTTCCCCTGAAGTCCCAGATACCCCAGTCAAAGAATTTACAATCTACCCTTGAAAAGGGGCAGGCGGCCCCGGGGCACCCCGCAAGGACAGAGCGCGCACCGGCGGGGCCGCGCCATCGGCTGCGGCAGCGCGCAGTACCCTGCCGCCGCGGCGCCGGCGGACACAGCCGGCCCCGCTCCGCGCCCGCCGCTCACCCGCGTCCAGCTCCCGCGCGCGGCGGCCCTGGGATGGCCCCGCACGTCCAGACGGCCCCGAAACCCGAACAGCTTCGCACCTCCCGGACGGCCCCCGCACCTCCCGGACAGCACCACACCTCCGCCGCCGCTTCCGGCGCTGCCGGCGCGTCAGCGGAACCCCGCCCTCCCGGGCCGCCGCCATGGCGCGCGCCGCGCGGGCGCGGCGTCAGCGGAAGCGCGACGGGATCGGGGCGGAGGGAGCGGGAAGCAGCGAGCAGGCGGCGAGCCGAGAGTCCGGACCGATCCCGCAGGGACCTGCGCGTCCTCCGGTGCCGCGTCGCAGGATGGGCTCCCTCGCGGGCTGAGCCCTCCGGGACGGGGACACTGTGCGTGTGGGAGCGCTTGTTTACAGCTCCCTCTCTTCGGGCTTTTGCGGCGTAGGAAGGGACGAAATAAGCAGCTGGTCGGGACCGTGCTGTGGTAAGGGAACCGCGGGGTGATGCTACGGCCAAAAGCTTTAGTACAGCGTGTGGAGGTTCCTGAGCAGTCTGTGGCTCTGTTGCCTTAATGGACGTTTGCCGTACCGAGCTCTGAAACGGACTCAGGTCTCTCGGCTGGGGTTTGAGGAGGAAGGGCCGTCACCAACTAAGCTACCCAGATCTGCCCCTCCTGGGTGAGGTTCTGGGCGAGACCAGAACCAAACAGCTCTTCTCCCATCTTGGCTATGCCGGAAATCGCTTTAAAAAGACTGTTAAGAAAGCACTTAAGGTAGTCCCTGCTGGTGGTCTGGTGCTCACTTACTTAATGTCCCTAAGTTTTTGTAGCTAGATTAGTGCGTAAGAGTGGTTCAATTCAAACGGATCCTTTTTACGTTCCTCTTTGGCTTGGGCAGACTTTCTTTCTTTGCTGATAGCATTAACGTTGTTTACCAAACTCTGATCCTGTTTAATATTTGCTTTGTACTATTTCGGTGACTGTGAGATAAAACAGATTATGCTTTGACAGCTTATTCCATGCCCCTTCTGTAGGACAGAATTGCAGCAAGTGGTTGTACCCTTGACAGGAACCAAGGAGAACATGAGTTTGGTTTCCTCATTAACCACAGACATTTGATTATAAGCCTGAGCCAAGCTCCTCTGAAACTAATGGTTTGTTGATTTGGGTCTAAACTCTGTTGATGCTATTAAATCAGGAATAAAATACTGTGTTTTAAGGATTAAGATAGAAGAGCTCAAATTAGTTGGCCTGAGTGAGCAATCCTTGAGAAACTTGTTCACAAATCATTTATGCTACTTTAATTGATTAAATTATAAATCTGACCTTACTGCTCTGCACTTAAACACACAAATTTGTGCTTAAGTGGAAACACTGATGTTAAGTCATGGAAGTATGAGTAAATTTAGACTCCACTTGGTGCTTCAGAGGCATCTGAACAGTTTTGCTGGTGTCCTTATGTGTTCTGGGACAGAGTAGAAAAGCCAATTACTGAAATTAATCTTTGTCTTTTCTTGTGATGTCCCCAGCACTAGTGACAGATGCTGCATTAAGCATATTGGATTCAAACAAAACATATTCATGTACCTGATCTATTTTTTCAGGAGACTTTATCATTACTGACAGATGGTTCTTGTCAAAGAATGGCTTCTTTTAGTTCAAGTTGTTAGAAAAGTCAAAAAAGATTGAATTCAAGAAGTCATTGTAATGAGAGACAACTCTATCCTCAAAGTTAATATGTAAAAATTATGAAGGTGACATTAATATTACACAGAGGCTGTTACATTAAGGGGAATTTTGCTCAGTCCCATGGGGATAATGTACTCGCTTTCAGCTGATGCTTTAAAGTTAAGTAATCAGGTAATACCTTGAAGATCAGGGAAACCCCATAAAAGCAGCCAGGATAAAACAGAAATGTTTTGATTTGTTGGAGAGCTCTAGCAGGATATAGAAGTCAGGCTGTACATGACTCTAAGGTGAGTCTCCTGCAGCAAATAGAAAGCTCAAATGTTGTTTTTTGGTTGCTTTGTTTGGGTTTTTTTTTCTTGAGGAAAGGGGATATTTACTTTTTTTTTTGCCAGCTGAGCAGAGTGACTAGTGATCAAGGAGAAAGAATGTGATGAAAGTGTTAAATTTTTATTGGACAGTTCTATGAAGTCAGAAACTTCCTGAAATAGAAGGCCTCTCAGCCTTGTAATGGTGAGCCTCCAGAGGACATGTCTCATCTAGAGATCTGCCTTAAAGCTGGAACTGGCATTTTTTTACTCCTCCCACTAAAAATCATCAGATAGTAAATGATGATAGCCCTACAGTTATAGTACTCTGTCTTGTATTAAAGTTGTGCCTGTCCAGTGAGTCAGACATTAAAAATAAGAAATCCTTGCACAACAGTCCCAAACAATACAAATTGCTAAAAATATTTGGGCAGTTGGAGCAGCAAAACTGTTACACTTAAATTTGTTCAGGGGACTAGAAACAAAGTTCAACCTCAGCTGTCTGGCAGCCAGCACTCCAAGGTGCAACTCTTCCAGCTTGCTTCTGGAAAAAGTAGTGTGCAGCTGAAAATGGTGGTTCTGTAGGCTGCCTTCATTAATAATTTCCTAACAACTGAGGTATTGGGCCCGTAGTAATCTCTGCATGATGTATCACCTCCTCTTTGGAGGTTTGCACTGTGGTGCTGTGGAATGTGCAAGCTGACAGCTCTCCAGCGATGCCATTGTCCTCAGCACCTGCCCGTTACAATGAGGGCTGCTTGATCTCCTGTTACAGGGTGCTCCAGCTTCTCTTGTCGTTTAGGCAGAGTGAAATTGCTGTCTTCAGACACTTGAGGTTCACCTCTGCTGTTTTCTCCTCCACTGTTGCAATATATTAGCACTGGCGATGTACTATAGTGCAGCATTAAGGTCAATCTTACCAAGTCCTTCTATCCACTGTACATCTGGATAACTCCACTTCAGGCCATCTATTCATGTGGAATGTTGCCAAGTCAGTTTGGTTAGGCTTGTCAAGGATACTAATGCCAAGCAAAAGGAATTTGGGATAATGAATCCAGCCTGCATAACACCAGATGCAATGTATGGCCTTTATTGACAATTTATTCTGTTTTCATTTGCTTAACCTTTATGCTTCTGTTTTTGCTCATGCCAAAAAAACTACCTCTGAACACAGAGAACCTCAAAATTCAATCACTTGGAAACTGCCACTCAAATGAATTGTGATACAATAAGCATGTCAGGAAAAAGAAGCAAAACACTTGGATAATCAGTGCCTGTTGGGAATATCACATCTTCAGATGGCTGAATCATGAAATGCCTGAAAACATCAGCCAGATTATAATATGATGTTAGTTAACTTTGTTGGCACTTGGCCAAGCAATCTCTTCAGACTAGCTACCCAAAAAGTCCCATAAGAAACTATGTGCTATGGCAGATGTTGCTTTTAATACTTCAGGTTTTTTTATCCCTTGATCAGCTTTTGTCTGCATTTTAAAAATGAGTTGGTCTTGCTGAAGAAATGGCTTAATCCTCAGTTAGAAATTGGCTAGAAGTGCCAAGAAGCAGTAATAAGGCTGTAGGAAAGTGGACAAGGAGGTAGCAATTGGACTGTGTAGGTAGTGGATTTGCTGTACTATTTGATGTGCTCTTTCAAAAGGGCTGTGTTTTGATCTTAAATTTTACTCACTTAGCTCTTGGTCTGAGCCATGGCTACAGAATGGATCAAAGAGAATGTTTTACACAGACTTTACATCACTTAAAATTTTGGGAAATGTCCAAATGGGAAGAAAAACATTGGCTGTTCTTTCTCTAGTTAGTTCAGTTACTCTTCACCCAGTGTTAGAAGATATGTATGTGGCTATAACAGTATTTTTTAGTTGATTCATTGTTTCCAGACGTACTTAGTTTCAAGACCATAGAAAAGATTGGCAGTGAAAATGGCTTTGAAATTGTCCTGTTTCTTGCCGGGATAGATCTGCTTAATTAGGAGGAGGAAGGGAAGTGCTTCTAGGGGAGAATGCTGTCTTATGGTCAGCTCTGGAATACACTTGGAGTTCTAGAGGAGTGTAGAAACCTGAGCAATAGCTACAAGAGGAAATGCATGCTGCTCTAGCATCTTACTACATTGACTTTAAAATTTATCTCTCTTTCTCTCTCCAATAATTAGGGCTCTGCTTTAGGGAAGCTTTTTTTCACTTAACTGATTGTGTTTTATGTTGAATGCAGCTGAACTGATACTTGTATAAAGAATCAGATCATGCATGTACTTCAACAAAGGTCAATAATTTCACACACATATGGCTCACATACAAGAAAAATATGTTTGGATCCAAGAGAGGAGGAAGGAATGTATGTCTTCTGTAGCCCATGAAGGCAAACACTAATTTCCATGTAAAATGATGTAAGGGAGATAAAGGGAAATAAGAGCTATGCTTTTCTGCAACTTCATCATGGCTGTCTGGGCTGGGTTTGAAATACAACTGAAAGTCTTACAACTGTTTTTTTAATTGATTTCTCTGTTGAATACAGTTTAACTCTTCTCTCTTTCTCCTGTTACCAGAAAAATGAGTGGTGGGTTGGCACCAAGCAAAAGCACAGTGTATGTGTCCAATTTACCCTTTGCTTTGACAAACAATGATCTGTACAGGGTAAGTTTTAAGAGCTGCATTGTTTTGATTTAATTTACTGATAACGATTTTGACTGTAAAATCAATACTGATATATATCAGTTTGTTGTGATAAATTTATTACTAATGAAATGCAGTTGTCTCTTGCTAAATCTTTTTATTTTGTTTTATATTTCAGATATTTTCAAAGTATGGGAAAGTTGTCAAGTAAGTGACCTGATATGGCCTTCTATTTTTGTACCTCTCATTTTAAATATTTGATGTCTTTCCTTCACCTGAAAGTCTTGAGCTTTTTATAATTAAAGCATGAATGTGGAACTGTATTGAAGTTCTGTTCATTTTAATAAAGTATAAATTTAATTTAACAACTGGAAGTTCTTGCAGTTACATACATAATACAAGAATATTTGTGCTAGGGACAGGTTTTGCTAACTATTTCCTAAGAGCAAGTAGAATGTCATTACATACCATCAGTCTTTTCTCTGAAATAGTTGAAGTAGTATTCTTCTAGTAAGTATTGTTCTCCTTCCCTTGAACATGTGTGGGGCACAATGGATAAGTGTAGAAGTGAGAGCTTTTACTTATGTCAATCAGATGTCACAGTTCTCACAATTGCAATGTACAGTTCTCTACTTGTGATTCTAGACGGACTTGTTATTGTGACTGCTTAGTATTTTACCTAAAATTAGATATAAGGATGCATTTGAAATCAATAAGAGTTGAAGTTGTGTAGGTTCCCACCCCCCTGCCCTATCTTGTAATTTGTTCTTTTTCTTTTTTACTGCGTCTAGATCCTTCTTGAATTTCTCAATGTGCTATTGAAGCTGTTGATATCAATGTTAGACTGAAGATCTAACTTCATATGTCATGTGAAATAACACATGTATCCATAATCCTTGGATTTCAGCTGGAGATATTTGTAGAACAATACTACACATACTTAGCATTTCCTACTGTGAACCTGTTTAGCTGATTAGTTCTACACAAACATAGATTTCTCAGTTTGGATGCAGTTCAATGCACTGTGTTTTTCAGCAATAATAGCAGTGATTAGATTACTCCTGAATTTTTCTTTCACCTCCAGCATGTGTAGTTCCCTCCAGTTAGGTTGCCTGCAGATCTAAAGAGCGTGTTCTCTGTTCAGGTCATCCAAGGGAATTAAGAGTGACACTGTCCCCAGAAATACCCCACATTCTTTTTTAAAATCATCTCCACTCTACCTGTAATCACATGGCCAGGTTAGCTGTTCCTTTGAATTTCTCTTTATTGAGCATTTTTATTGTTAGATATACTTTAACCTTTTTGCTATATAACAAAGCTAAGATCCTGCTGAGATCTTTAAGGAAAAAATGTCTCTGAAGTCATTTTAGTGTATCAATAATGCACTTATATGTTTCCAGAGTTACTATTATGAAAGACAAAGACACCAGAAAGAGCAAAGGAGTTGCCTTTATTTTGTTTTTGGATAAAGAATCTGCACAAAACTGTTCTCGGGCACTTAATAACAAACAGGTAAATTGTGGAAAGTCATTATGGCAGGAGGGTTGGGTTTGCAGTCCCAAAACATTTACCTTTTCTTTCCAATTTTCTTCAGTTGTTTGGAAGAGTAATAAAAGCAAGTATTGCCATTGATAATGGAAGAGCAGCAGAATTCATTCGCAGGCGTAACTACTTTGATAAGTCTAAGTGTTACGAATGTGGGGTGAGTAAAACCAAAAATGTAGAGAAATGGAGAAAAGTTGTGGGATAAGAACAGCTTAATAACTGAAATAATATAAAATAGTGGTAATAGTAGTAAATGGTAATGAAAATGAAAATAACAAAGAGAAATAAAACCCAAGAAAGGCAAGTGATGCAAATGAAAACAGTTGATCACCACCAACCAATCAATGCCTAGGCAATCCTTGAGCAACAGCACCCCTGCCAAACTTCCCACTAGTGTTATGGCTGAGCATGACATCATCTGGTCTAGAAGTATGCCTTGGGTCATTTTAGGTCAGTCGTCCTGGTTCTGTGCACCCCCAGCCCACCCAGTGGTGAGGGGGATGAGTGGCAGAAGGGGCCTTGACTCTGTGTAAACTCTGCTCAGCAATAGCTAAAACATTCCCGTGTAATCAACACTGTTTCCAGGACAAATCCAAAACTATAGCTAGCCCCATACCAGCTACTGTGAAGAACATCAACTATCCCAGCCAAAACGAGCACAGAATCTTAGCTGGTGTCTTCAGTTTGGCCATTGCTAATCCTGCCTTTGCTGTTAAATTTTTTTTTGGTTGATATTATCAACTTGCATAGCACGTTGTATCATTTTCAGGAATGATAGTACCCCTTCTGTCTTTTATTCGAGATTCTGGGGGTGGGGGAAAAATACGTGCGTGTTACAGATGCTTAACATGCAATTTCTGACTTTTCCTGAATGTAATGATGTAGGACATTGAGATTCAGATGGTATTTAATGTCCAATACAAACTTGATTTATATTCATAACAGCAAAAATGTTGTCTCACTTCTGTGTCTTAACTTGTTAATTCTGAGATTTCTATCTTGAATATAAACCGTATGTAGTATATTCAGCTATTGCAGCAGCCAAAGAAATCTTTTGTGTTCATGGCTTGTTCTTAGTATGCAGTTAAACGTGCATATCACCACCAATCTCTTAATTTCCATGGCAAGTTTATAGAGGGGAGTTTGTCTTCTGTGTGCTAATTCAGCATTCCATTTATCTTACTAATTGCTTCCATTTTTTTCTCCATGAACTGTCTTACATTAACTTCCCTCATGATATGTTTTAACATATAGTTGTTTGTAATGGTTTGTGTTAAGCAATATTTCTTTTTCTCCAAGGAAGCAGGACACTTAAGTTATGCTTGTCCTAAGAATATGCTAGGAGAGCGGGAGCCACCGAAGAAAAAAGAAAAGAAGAAGAAAAAGAAAATAGTTGAGCCAGAAGAAATGTATGTATATTTACTTACATGTTCCTACTTCTTTTAGGAAGTTTTTTCATACTAAACACTTAAATTAAAGAACTTTTATTGTTTTTCTCTCTGCACAATAAAGTGAGGAGGAAGGAGAAAGCGAAGAGGAAGGAGAAGACCCTGCTCTGGATAGCCTCAGCCAAGCCATAGCTTTTCAGGTACAAAATTGAAGCATTGCGTATTTATCATTATTTTTTAAATGCAAGTCTACTTCCTTCTTCAGATGCTCTTCAAAAGCTCTGAGATACATGCATAGGTCTGTCCGCTCTGTAGCACTTGGGGGCTCTTGTTTGGCAGCAGCAGTTGGTAACTGTAGTTACATCTTCACATTGCAGTCATGTTCAGTGGGATTTTGTTTGGGGTTTTTGCACTTTCATTATTGCTGGTTTATGTGTATTTATTTTGTATTATGTGTTGCAGCTTTTTATTTCCTTCAAGCTCCTTTGCTGCTTAGTTTTTTGTCATCTCTGCTGCAGTGCCCTGCTAGATTTTTGTTTACAAATCCCTCTTTACTTTGTTAACTGAGCAGATGGGGAAACACAGTTATGTACGAATGACTGGACACATCCTCTACCCTCACTGGACTATCCTTGAACAAACATGTATTTCTGGGGTACTTCCTTTGCCTAGTACAGTCCATCGCAATCTCTAGTAGACTCAGCTCTCAAAACATACTGAGTGCATATTTTGTTATGTAGATAGATTGTCTGACATCTGTATTACTGCCTTTATTACTTGTTTACACACTTCTGCTTCACTACACAGAGCAAGCCTGACCTGTTATTCAAATTTCTTTGCTCCCTGTCCGCTGTGTGCCTGTCCCCAAAAAGACCCTCAAGAGTTATTAGCACAACTTTGTTCTGAATCTCACTGTAATGAGCGCAGAATTTTTACATTATATAGTCCAAAAAAATAATTCAAATATGCACAATTATTCCCCCTTTCCCCAAAAACTCCACAATTGAAAATAAAACCTATGAAGCCAAGAAACATTCCCATATCTCTCACCATCCAAAAATTTTATCTGGTAAAAATAGGAAGCTTCTATTTAAATCTTTAGCTGAATAACCTTCAATAATAATCCCCAAAGGCATTCATTATGTGAATGAATGATTGCAAAAGACAACTGTTAGAAGACTTGTTAGTGGAATAAAGTTGATTCAATAATGTCAGTTTAAAATGTGAGGCATTCTTTGCTTCAGATCTTAGCTGCTCTATAGTTTTTTTGCCATGGGCAAAATTCCACTTTTTGAAAATACAGGATAGTCCATGTGGCCTGCAATGGTGTAGAAGACTGCTTGTGTGTGAGAAATACTTTCAGGAATGTTTCCTAGTGCATTTATCGCACAGTTTACTGGAAATGGAGATAAACCCTTGCAATTCTCTAACTTATTTAATGATTCAATGCATATGAATAATTAGCATTATTATTTGTAATGCATCTTAGTTGTTCTTAGTCCTAGCTAATACTTTTCCTTCTTTCATTGTAGCAAGCCAAAATTGAGGAAGAACAACAGCGATGGACACAGACTGCAGGGGAATCTTCAATTTCAGATGATTCAAAACGTCCACGGATTAAGAAAAGTACTTATTTCAGTGATGAGGAAGAACTTAGCGATTGAAATAATACTATTCTATATGTATATATAATATATGTAATGTACCTTTTGTAAATTGCTACAAAGTGATCTGTAATATAGATTTGTTTTGGTGTTGGAGACACTGAAAATCACGTTGTATTTTTATTCTGTCCTCTCACCCTCCTGTCTTTTTATACCTGTTCTCAAAACTTCACCTTTCAAGGCAGCTTCTTAAGGAAATGGTGTGTTCCTACACTTAAATCCAGAAAAAGTATCTATGAGAATACTACTTACAGTTAGTATCTAGACCCAAACCCTGGGAGTGAAATCTTTCCTAAGAGAATTTCCCACAGCTTTTTTCCCAAGGGGATTCCTCTTAGGACGACTGTTAGCACCACTGATTCTTTATGTATTGGTCTGTTTATTGCCTGCTTGGAAGCAGGAGGCTTTAGCAGTACTTTAGTGGAATGTGAATCTTGCACTAGTTCCTCTTCATAGGGTTGAATTTCAGCTTTAAGCATTGTACTAGTCTTTTAACTTCTCATACAGTAGATGAGAAATTACTGTCGCACCAGCACTGTTTTTCCTGACTGCAGTTTGGGTGCCTAACATGGTAATTATGATTATCCATGGCGTTTTGAATATACTTGTATCTAACCTGGGTCACAGTTCTATGTTCACAGCCATCTGAACCTGTTGGCAAAATCTAAAAGGCACAAAGTTTCCTACATGCTTAAAAATGAGCTTTCATGTATACTTGGAACCATCATGGTCTCTAAGCAAAGTGTGTCGGCACCTATTTTGCAAATAAAGCTGTCAAGTCCTTTTAAATAGAGTCTCCATCGTTACATCTCTAGGGTTCTAGTCATGTTCTCCTGTATCAGTGATCATTCCCAAAACCACAGACACTTGATTTCTTACTGTTCTTACAGTTCTTACTGTTTAACCATCAGGACTTAATTTTCTTCCAAATATTCCATTCTCTATTTTTAATACCAATTTACATTCAAATACATAAGATGCAAACAAAGAAACACACACTACCCCCCCATCAAAGCTAGTGTGTAGTCTCATTCCGAAGGTCATTCTTGTGCTTGTGTTGCTCCATAAACACAAGAATTCAGAAACAAGAATAAGGTAATAAAAGTTTTTTCTCTGCAAGCTACTCAAGCCATCAGAATAAGGAAGAATATTGAGTTCTAAACATAGGAAGGTCTTGGACTCAGTAATCAAAGGAATGTTTTTAAGACTGACTTTTTGCTGAAAGTACTATATATTAAATCTGAAGCTTCCTTTACTGAATTTTGGGAAGATCTCTTGATACTGAATAGCAGAGTGCTAAAGTGCCAGGCGTAACTTAGTGATAGTAAATGCAAATCAGTCTACATTGTGCATGTAATAATAAAGCCTGAGGAGTTCTAAACTCTGCTAAGGAAGAAAGTCTTGCTGCCAGCATGCTTCTCTGCAAATGCTAGGTTAGGATGCAGTGACAGTCAAAAAAAAGAAAGCAAAACAAACAAAAATATTAGACCACTACTTAAAATTGAGGTTTGTCTTCTTTTCAAGTACCATATTCAATGCTGTTTTTTGAAAAAGATAGAAAACTAAAATGTGACAGAGGACCAGTTTGACATTGTCCATGACTTTGGTTTGGGAATATTTGACAGCCTGTAAGAGTTAAGATTTCAATGAAGTGATTAGGCAGCAAGTTTCAAACTTGTATTTCATTACACTATGTAATGTAGTAGTGGAACTCACTGCTAGGAGACTTCAGGGTCATGCAGTCAAAAGGATTAGGCTTATATGTGAAACAGATTTTCAAATGTTAGTTTAAGTAAAGTCTCCACTCAGAAATATCCTCAGTTGCTGGCTACCTCTAACAGTTAAAATATACAGAGATATTAACAGTCTCGGTATGTATTGTTCTTACACACTTTATTGTTTCATATTTGCTACTGGTGTCTTGTCAGAAAGCATAAAACTCAAAACTGACCCTTGTTCTGACCTAATAAAGTACTTTTTCAAGAGCTGCAGTAGCTGAAGCATGTTGATATATTTTTCTAGTCTGCTGCTTCTGCCTCACTGCTTTCCCAGTAGGATTTGCTCTTGTCAGCATGAAGCAGTAGCTCAGTCCAGACTTTTACAACTGACCCAGTGTTGTTCCTCCATGCTCTTTTGTACCAAGCATAAACAGTTGAGGTAGGTGACATTGGAAGAGAAAAAGTAAAAATGAGCCTGCTTCTGTGCATAATTGGCATCTGGAATTCCTTCCCTTAAGTCATCTTGCTGTAACAGTTTTCTTAACTCTGAACTTCTATTGTTTAGCAGCGCTTATAGTTTTTGCCTTAGAGTCAGGGTAAAGAAGAATACACCTAATGCCTAAATCATGACCTAGAGGGACTTGGGAGGAGTCAGATTTTTGCACTTGATCTTCTGAATAATTTTAAATTTCTATTCTTTGTTGGCACGATAACAAAGCATTTCTAGGTGAGAAATTCAGAGCACTAGCATTAGTTAGACAGTTAGAGTAGTTAGATAATGTGAGTACCTATTCTGCTTACTTAAATCCAAAATTGTTTCTGGCAGCAGCCCCTGATGCAGCTGCCTCATCCTGAAAAAAAAGGCCAGAACTTGTCAATGAAGTCTCTTTCTGATCTTTGAACCTGGAGAGGTTTGCTCCTATTTATGTCCACCATCAGCTACTCTAAGCAGCCCAGCTTCAGGTTGCCATCAGAGTCCCATCAGTGCTGAGGAGCAAGGGAGAGTGTTAACTAGGCTCCTGATTTAGGTCAGGCCAATAGGGTGCAATTATTTTGCAAAGCTTCAGCAACAGAGTGGTGCTTTTGTCAGCGTGGTATCATAAAGCACCAACTCCAGAAAGAGAAAACAGCTTTGGTGGTTGTATGGCTCTGGGCCAGACAAGGTGAGACTCTAGTCTTGTTATCAAAAGAGAGAAGAATAAAAATCACCTTGTAGAACACTTTATTGTTGCTGTTAGAAAAACCACAGGATTGTCTTCTGAGGGGGCCGTGTGCAGGAGGTGTGTTGGTTTGGGGTTATTTTTAGTACTTTGAGAACTTAGGTTAGCAAGCTAACTACTAGTTTTAGAGTATAGATAATATGGCTCTGATAAGTAGCAGATTTTTTTTTTAATAATGTCAAAAACTTGGATCTTTCTGCAAACATCCACTTATTAGATTTTATCTTTCGTAGTTTCCAGACAGCTTGAAAATTGTCAGAATGTGTTAGGGGTCATAGGACCTCTTGTCTGTTGAAATGGCTAACAGAGTAGTGTCTCAAAAGCTACTAGGAGATGCCTTTTATCTGTCCTTGTGGAAGAGGGGGCTATGGAAGTGAGATAAGGACGATTCACTTAACTGAATATAAATGGTATTACTCACACTGTGCCTGTGCAGCACTTGGTAAAACCATTGCAGCTATGAGACACAGGAGTAATTTTAGTCCATGTTTAACAGGCTCCCACTATGTTCTCGGCATATTCAGGTTACTACTCTCAACAGAGCAATAGAAGGGACTGTAAATACAAAGAACTGTGTGTAGCTAAATATATGATGTCTGGAACAAATTGTAAACACTTTGGCTTCTGGGTCACTGTGTTCTCTGGGATAGCCCTTTAATCTGCAGAGATGACTTACTGTAGCATGGGAAGGTGAGCTGTGCAGGCTGTCTAGCTGTAGTCTTCTGAGGCAAAAAATATTAAATTGCTTAGAAAAGCTAGATGTAAAATGTGATATTTTAAAATTGCATTTATGAAGTGCTACTATAAGCGTTTCTATTCTATTTTGCATCTGCAGTGTCAATACAATTATATATTCTGTCACTATTCCATCATTGCTCTTCTATGAAAATATTTCAAATAATATTCTTCCAAATGTGCTATCTTAAAATAGCAATATTGGATATTGCTTCTTTTTAGTATAAATTACAAACCCATTTTTAGATGTCCTTTACTCAGCAGCTTTGTTTATCTTACGAGTCTTAAGAGGCTGAGGTTTTTTTTCTGTAGCTGTTGAAGGTAACATTAAAAATTACTACACTGTTCTTTCTTTAGAGAAAAAGGTGTAAAATGGAGGGTTTAGTCACTTTTAACATACATGACCTTGTTTTTCATATCTATCCTGGTATCTGTAAAACATATCCTAGAAGGAATAAGCTGAGACTCTCCATGTAAAAGAAAGCAATATTTTTTCAGTCGAAGAACTGTACAGGTTTGAGAAGCAACCCTCCATCACTGTCAGGCTAACCATGACCCTGCTATGCATTCAGACAGACAAGGTGTGTGTTTGTGCATGTATTTAATGGATGTGATAAGTAATACAGCAGGCAGAGAGTTACAGAACTTGTGGCAGCAGAATGTGATAAAAGAGTGTGAAACATTTAACCAACCCACTGAGGCAATGTAGGTCACAGTGGCTTGAAGAAATACCACAGTTACTAATATGAGAAGTTTTCTGTCTGATGAACAGGATACTCCAGAGAATCAAAAGCAACTCTGAGGTTTTAAGTTCATCAAATGCAACAGCCACAAGCCTACATCGAGATGAGCTAATCCATGAAAATTCAGTTTTACCAATGTGCAGTCAAAGAGATTAGAAGGCATCCAAATTTAGATGCTGCAGCAAGCTCAGTGCAGTACAGCAAAACATGTCGCTTGGTTGCAAGAGTAAAGATGCATTATTTTAACTGTGTATATGGAGGCAGAGCATGTAGGTATGTTCTGCTCAAAGAACAGATGTGGCTACGGAAGAAGGAGAGACCTAAAATAGAACCAAAAGGGATATTAAGGACTCTGTGGCTATGCTGTGAAGTTCTAAGGCACTGAACTGTATTTTTAGAGTGGGACAGGAACTGATTGTACTATGTTTGCTTAATTGAAGAATGAGTGTCTTATATCAGAAAATTATGAACCTTTTGATAGTACAAATATGTACTGATGTTCAAATGCTCAAGAAAATGAGACAAATTAAAGGAGGATACAGTTCTACAAAGAACCTTACTTGGGATGTCTTTGATGTATGAATTTGATTAGGTGGCAAACAGCCATCTGCCCATGAAGCCTGGAGCCGTGAGAGTGCATATAAAATTAAATGGCTGAGCAGCATATGGCAGTTAGGAAAGATGAGAACATGCAGTACTTGGATGTGATGGTTTTGAGTTCATGAACCATGTATCTGGAATGAGTGATTGTAGTTTTTGATATTATGTTCTTTCAAAGAAAGTTTTTGAAAATTCATCAGCTAGATTTATTTTCATTACTGCAGCATAACAATTTAAGGAGTGTTTTTACTGTGGGAGGCTTTCATAGGAAAAGCTTAACAGAGGAAACTCAATTAATTAAAATCTGTAACACAGTTCTGCAGCAAGGGTGGATTCTCTGTGAGTCCCATGCTTGTGGCATCCTAGAGAATGCAGGGCCCCAGGGCCTTATTCATGTTCATATTTAATTTAGCTGAAGCTGCTGGAGAATGTCCAGAATCCTCTCTTCATTTGCTGCACAATTTAGGTCAAGCCCATAACAAAGTACTTGAGTTCAGGACAAAGTAGCCCTTGCAAAAGTTTCACCTTTTTTCACTCTTATGTTATTTGTTCTAGGATGGTAGATTTTTTGCTGTATTGCACACCTTTGAAATGGCAAACTGGTTGACAGGAAGTTACTTAACTCCCTTGATTTGAATGTGGTAGGAGCAGCATACACACATTACTCTGCTGCTTTAAAGAAAGGGCAAGGAGTAATTATTGTAACAGCATCCTCTGGATGCAATTTCACTGCTTCCAGTGGCTGGGAGCCAGAGAAGGAGGGAAGGAGGCAG